GCGCGAGTCGGGGTCCGACCTGGCGCGGGGCTGTGCGTGTGGGGGCGCCTTCCCGCTGCCGCCGCGGCGGGGTCACCCGAGCCGCTCCCCCGGCTCTCCGGGAGACCGTCTTCCCCTGCCGTCCCCGCGCGGTGGGGCGTCTCGAGGTGAGGTCCGAGCCGGGGTTCTGGGGCCTAGGCTGGCTCCAGGCTCCCGTGCCTGCCTTGGTCTTCCCGATCCGTGTCGGCCTTGCTTTTAACCCTTTCCCTCCTCCTCTGGACCACTGAGTTTGCATATCCCGGATAGTCGGGGTGCACAAGCTCTTACCTGTGGCCGGCAAACGCAGCAGGGCACCTTTCGTCCTTCCCGGCCGGGCAGGGGTCCCAGCTTATGCCTACCCAAAGACACAGGGGATTCTCAGAGCCGAGCAGCAGCAGAGGTGAAGAAATTAATGTACTTCTTAAAATCTAACTTTGTTCCTTCCTACTGCTCTTTGGCAGGCCCCGGCCGGCTCGTGCTCCATCTCGGGTACCTCTCAGCTGCCTCCTCCTGAGTCCTTGCCATGTCTCCTTTGCACCATGGTCCCTGTGCACTCGGGCCCAGGCCCCTCCCAGGGATTCCCTTTTGGGTGGAAATACGGGAAGGCCTTGGCTCCTGCAGCCCTGTTCCCTCTTGCTGGAATGAACTCACTATTTTAGGACTCACACTTGGCAGTGTTTTTTTCCAGGGGGCTTCCTTTGAACTCTGGTTCCTCTGCTGCCATCTTTTTACAAACTAATCGTTACACACAGTGGACCAAAGTTTTCCAGGCACAAAGGGCATCTAGTTCATTCATTCAACTCTCAGCCACTCAACAACATGTTTATTGAGCACCTATTACGTGGTAGTCACTGTGCTAGGCCTGTGATAGAGCAGCAACAAAACAGAACAAAAGCACCGGTGGGGGGCCCCAAGATGGAACTGGACACCGAAGGCTTAGGACAAGATTGTCGTGAGCTCACACACACACAGATCTCCAAGGCTAGTCATAGGGTCCAGCCCCTCCTTTTATAGCCAGAGAAATTCTGGTCCCAGGAATTTCTCCAACCCATTTTCACGGCCAGCAGGATCTGTCAGTGTTCCTCACCACTGGCCTCCTGCCAGCAGCCCACAAGTATGAGTCTCACATGACTCCCAAGGTCACCTCACGCTCTCAGAGACAAGGCCGAGCCAAACCCTGCGTTTGTGGGCTTAGTTCTGCCGCTTCCCAGTCGGAGACTCGGAGAAGTGTCTCCCACGCCGGTTTGCTGATCTGTAGAATGGACAACCTGATTTCCCAGGGTCCTTGCGGGAGGACAGGGGGACGGGAGCACACCTGGCAGGGACCGTACCCCCGCGGGTATTTTCCCCACACCTCTGTTCAGCTTTCCTGTTTCCCTCCCCTCAGGCTCCTGCAGAAGCCCCTGCCTTTAAGCTGCCCCCCCCACGCCTGACCCCCTTTCTGTTCTTAAACAATGAAAGTATCCTGGTCCTTCTGGAGGGCTCCTGTTCCCCTGTTGGAAACAGCGTTTTTGTTTTTGTTTTTGTTTTTAACTTTGTCAGCCTCCGGTCTCTCTAGGGCTCCAAGGGGTAAAAGTTTATTGGACTCAATTAGTTGCCCCATTAAGAAGGAAAATTGGAGTTTAATGAGCTTCCTCTGATTTGCAAAATAACAGGTTTCCCAGCCTCTGGGCATCAGAGGTGTAAGGTGAGAACATCCCTCCCCGTGGGTGTCAGGTGCTTCTCCAGCCCCCAGTCGGGTTCAAAGGGTTAGGACTGATGAGTTTTTAATTGCTCGCTTAAGTTCACCGCCTTGCTTGGTTGTGGTCTTGGAGCGCGAATCAGGCCTGCAGGGAGGAGGGGGGCACGCCGAGGATCCGTGCCCAGAAAAACGAGGTGGTTGGACATGAAGTTCGCAGGAGTGGGACTGAGGGAGGAGAGAGGTGAGGGAGAGCAGAGGAAGGTATGGATTCCGCCGTGCGCCCCTCTCCGCCCTCCCAGGGTCCCCGGATCCCTTCTGGCCTGAGCCGTGGGATGGAACCTGAAACAGCGCTGTGGGGACCGGCTCTGGAGGGTCCTGAAGAGACCACAGACGATGCTCACAGAGGTGAGGGCACAAGCAGGGACCGCGGCCCTGACGACAGCGACCCCCGCTCAGGGCGGGCCCGGACCCTGGGGGGAGCCCAGGGGAGGCAGGCGAGAGCGGACGCCAGGTTCGGAAAGCAGACGGCGCCTGGAGACTCCCTTTCTGTCCGTAGGTGCCGAGAGTGGGAACGAAGCCGAGAGCGCTCCGGAGGAGAGTTCTGGGGAGGAGGTCATCCTGGGAGACCCCGCCCAGAGTCCGCAGTCCAAGGACACATCCGAGACGCCCCCGGAGAGCCCTTCCCAGGACCCCTCAGCCTCTCAGGAAGCCCCGGCCCCACGGGGTCCCTCCAACCCCTCGGACCACCAGACTCCGGCTCCCGAGGTGGTCCCTGCCCCGGCTGACTGGACCAAGAGCTGTGAGGCCAGTTGGCAGTGGGGGACCCTCCCCGCCTGGAACAGCCCCCCGGAGGTCCCTGCCAGCGAGCCCAGCCTGCGGGAGCTGGTGCAGGGGCGCCCCTCAGGGGCCGAGAAGCCCTACATCTGCAACGAGTGTGGCAAGAGCTTCAGCCAGTGGTCCAAGCTGCTGCGGCACCAGCGCATCCACACGGGCGAGCGGCCCAACACCTGCTCGGAGTGCGGCAAGAGCTTCACGCAGAGCTCGCACCTGGTGCAGCACCAGCGCACGCACACGGGCGAGAAGCCCTACAAGTGCCCCGACTGCGGCAAGTGCTTCAGCTGGAGCTCCAACCTGGTGCAG